TGTTACTTCTCCGTTTGTTAATTAACTTTTCGTAACTTCGTTCCGACAAAACTTTAGCGACACAAGTCTTTGCTTAATAAAACTGGTTTATTCTTTCCGAATATAACTCTGCGATACACTTAATCTCAATACTCGCGCTAAAACAACACTATACGAACGAACGTTAACTTCAACAATACCGTGTGACTGCAGTTCAATTACTCACTAACTATCACACATTACATTCCCCTCTTTTATATACCAGCGTACCCTATTTCTAGTAAGAACTTGAACATTCGCCAAAGTACATGATAGTTCTAGAAACGTTGCGTCACGGTGGTCATGTGACTCGCTGACGCAACAATATCTTGAAGACAGAAGACCAAACGATTACTGTAACTCGTGCCACAGTTGTAAGTGAATCACATATAGAATACGAGTGCCATAGTAATAGAGAAGGCAGTTCGGCTTGTCAACTGAATAGGCCTAAGTGGACTTTGACAACAAGAAGAGAACTATATATACAGTGTTTATGATATGCCTATCATCTCTAGAAAATTTGTTGTACATACATTTAACTTATTATGAATATATATATATTATTTTGAAAACAAGTGAAGTGTGTGCTGTTCATTTATCGTTGAATTTATCGCCAACAAGTCACAGACACCTACTGTAGAAGAATTCTAAGCCCAACAACGACGTAATATGTATTTATACTATTAAGAAATGTAAGTAAAAGCCTTTTATTCTGACAATTGGCCAAAAAATTAGATTTTAAATTCTAACATATAGATTTATAAGATATTATTATTTTAGTTAAAATGATTATTTATTGATAACATATTATGATTGTAGTTAAAATGATTATTTATTGATAACATATTATGACTGTAGTTAAAATGATTATTTATTGATAACATATTATGATTGAAGTTAAAGTTATTACTTATTTACAGCATATTATATTATCTATTATGTAAACATAATGAGTTGAATAAAATGTAGAATTTCTTCAGATTTAATGATAAAATATTATCTTTAATAATATCTAATGTCGGCTTGGAAATCAAACATCGTGGATGCAGTTCTAAATATATTAAGTCTACCACCAGATGGCGAAAAACACGTGACGAAGAACATGGAATTTTGTTAGGCGAAAACAAACATAATATAAAAGATCACACATCCGAAACAGTGAAAAAGTAATACACTCATCCACGTTTAAGATTTTGTCCAAATGCAATAATGATGAACATATCTATTAAAGAAATCTTGTTATTTCGTAGATCTGAACTAAACAGTTTTAGTTCACAGTTCACTTGTCATTAAACAACTGAATGAGGTAATACGATTCATGAAAGCCACCTAATGTAATAAATAACAGGACTCCTGAGATCTATGTTCGGGTAATATGTACTAGGACTTCTAACAGCTAGGTTTGGTAATATGTACTAGGACTCCTGACATCTATGTTCGGGTAATATGTACTAGGACTCCTGACATCTATGTTCGGGTAATATGTACTAGGACTTCTAACAGCTAGGTTTGGTAATATGTACTAGGACTTCTAACAGCTAGGTTTGGTAATATGTACTAGGACTCTGACATCTATGTTCGGGTAATATGTACTAGGACTT